AAAATGTATTATTTATTTACATATATCATAGATTTTAACAACAAATAGATTTTTTTACTAACAATAAATATCGGAATGCAGTCATTGTCAGCTTACACACATTTAGCATTATGACAATGGATATGACACTTAATGAAAATTACATGTATAAAGAAAGCATCATGCAACATTTGGCACATATTCTTATATTTATTTAAACTAATCATTTATGCTTAACTATTTATGACAATAACTCCTTCAAAGGATTAAAAGATAAATCGTTTTTACAATAATATTATATACGCAATAAAAGCTTTAATATATAAGTAAATGGTCATATAACATCATATATAATTATATATTCCACATATATATTATAATTATATATGAACATTTTTATTATATATATTAAAATTTATCTTTTTATAAATTAAAAATTATTAACACTTTATAAATTATAAAATGTTTTCAATATAAAAAACAGAATATATATATATATATATATAATCTTTCTTTAATCCTTTGAACATCGAAATATCTAATATTCTTTTTTCTTAAAGGTATGAAGTAGATGAATACTTTTATGATTAGATCGCGCTGAAAACTGACACTTTTTAAGGTACATCAAGTAACGAAAGATGGGCGGGTGCTCTTTGATATCCAAAGCTCTAATATTTACATCGTGAACATCTCGATGAATATCGTTAAAAAAAAAAGGAAAGACAGAGAAAAAAGGAATGAGAAACATTTAGAGATATTTCCAAACACCCAACACATGCTTTCCATTCGCTACTTCGGCAACAATCGATTACAAAATACGATTACTGGTGGTAATGGACATATGGATGATAGTCGATGATAGTCGATCGGTGGTAGTTTTCAAACAAATCACAGAAATGTGGTAATGAAAATGAAGTGTCACATGACATTAAAGAGTCATATGACTTACCACCCATTTGGTGATTGACGGGATTACCAGAAGGCAGTGACCTGGCATCTTGCGCCTCCCCGCCAGGCGGATAGAGCGGTACTGACGACCGATCGTAACAGAACTGACTGTTCTGCATGTCTGCCGTGTTGATAGTGTTGGCGTTGGTGTGTTGGTATAACATGGGGGTATGTTGTTGGCTCGAGAAGTGTTGTGTATTGGTGGCGTTATGTTGATTATGAGTAGGTGTTGCCGGGCAAGCCGAGTGTGAATGACTAGGTGAAAGAAGAGGTTGTTCCTTACTCACGCCGCCGTAGTGCCGAGGCGAACCGATCCCACCTGTAACATCAATCGTGTATACCCGGGTTGCCCTTCGCCAGCCTTGCCATACATTTAAACGCTTCTATTTCGCTTTCATATACCATGCCAGCGCTCACTGTCAATAGCCACGCATATAATATCGAGATCGAAATCTATATGTTGAATAAATTAAACAATCGGCTGAACGATGCACCCGGAAAATGAATATTGTTTCCGCTAGCCAAAAGTTAAAAGCAGATACAATCGTATGCCAAACAAATAAAACTTTCAACTTTGTTTCCGAAATTGCTAATAAATAGATTTATCGATTCAAAAATGCTATTTTTATTGAATCTCAAATTTGCAGAAAAGTATTAATAAATATTATATATAGACGATTGTATATATAATTAAAGACAATCGAGGATTTAGATAATTTTTTAATGTCTAATTTTAATGTCTAATAATAAATCAATTTAAAACTCTTTATTATATATTCTTTGTATAGTAATTACCTTATTAAGTTTATTAAAATAAATTCAATTTTAAATCCTAACAAAATGCTGAAAGCGCATGTTAAAAAAATGTTGAATTTAAATTCTGCAACTTAAAAAAAATAAAATTATAAAATTTTCTGTTTGAGAGATAGATAGATAGAAGAAAATTATGAGACAAGAAAGCGTTTCAATCTCTAGTATAACACATCGCTCCAATCATAAGTTATTAAAAACTTAAATCACAAATTTTACAAAATCTGCTACATTATTCAGAGTTACGCTTTCTTTTTATAGAGAATTTATATGACATAATATTGCGTAATATTCTATTCACAGAAAAACATCGAGAGATACAGGCACAAAAAATACTAATAAAGTCTATGCGCATACCCGACTAATCTACGCACGGCTTCCACAGTTTAGTAGTTCAAACAAAGTTAATCTTAAATTTGCAAATACTTACCGACCTCGGAACAAAATTTTCATGTAATCTAATCACAGCTTCCATATTTTCGCGCATATTTTATATATTTTTATATATTTATATATATATATATTTTATATATTTATATATTATATATTTTTATATATTTTTATATATTAAATCGCATTTTAGATTTTAGATAGAAATCAGTTCAATAAGCTTCTATGTAGAGACTAATACGCAGATACTTACTCGAAGATATTTTTATGATTGCAAAAAAAAATCGAATCAACATATTTCAATATTAAAACAGACAACTGCCTAATTCAGATACGCATAAACTTCCCACTTATTAATAAGTGACAAAAACTATGACCGTGAATATAACGTCAAGACTTAAATATTAAATAACATTATATTAATCTATAATGTTATAGAATACTCTGTAGAGAAGTCGATTTACCAATATTAAAAATTATACTTAAAACAATCAAACAAGCAATATGATAAAAAAAGTTTAATTGTTATATAAGATTTTTTCTCTTAGAATATTAAAGTTTTCAATTAGATAAAATAAATATATTGAACACGCATCAGCATCGTAAAACGACTTTCCAACAGACCTACTTAAATTTTTAATCTTATAACTAAATATATATTATTTATCATGTTGTCCTTTCGCACAACGCATAATATAAGATCCTGTATTTCACTACCTCACTATTAAACAGTGGAATATTTATATATATAATTCTTTATATATGAACTTTTCACGAATTGTTTTTTTTTTCCAAAATTGTATAGTTTACAGATTATCATCATATCATGAATCATTATTAATGATAATGTTTTATGAACACTGCAATTCATTTGATCAGGGCGAGAAGCAATCTGAAACCTATATTATAAAAACTTCTTGTTTTGAAATAACCTATAGTATTCATGAAACATGGGCGTTAATATTACTTGATACAATGATAACTTGCCAATTACTACATAATTTTCTATTTAACCTTGCACCTTAGGTTCTTCAATCAATTTCATCTGAACATCTCATTGTTGCAAATTTAAGATGTTTCTATGTAATTCCTTTTTCTGTAATACTGACTCTGATTATTTTAATTGTGACAATCTTAATTAAAAATTCAAAAATTAAAAATGCGATCACTCGAAATCGACGATCTCTTAACATAAATAATATATACCTGGCAATTGCGTCGTAGAAGAAGGCGTAGATGTTGTCCGTTGCAGCCGATACTGAGCCGACGAATTTGGCGCACCGGTATTGGGACCCGGTGGAAACTGGCTGGCTGTAGGCGACGTCGGTGGAGGAAATGCTTCTGCAGGAAATGGGGATTGCCGAGCAGAAGCTGCTGTCCCCGGTGAGGGCATCGATCGTTGTTGCTGTTGCTGTTGCAATTGTTGCTGCGTCGTGACCTGCTGCTGTGGCCTCACCTGGTTCACGTTGAATAATCTCGGTGTGTTGCCGTAATTGCCCTGGCGCATATATCGTGCAAACGTATAAAAATATTCAGAGAAATAAAGATATGTCAAATATAAAGAAAATTAAAAAAGAAATGTATATGTCATGTATATGTATATGTCATGTCATAAAATATAAGTAGAAATCTAACATATATAATAATTCAAGTTTATTATAAGCAAATTTGTATGCGTTGCATAAAAATTAACTTGCATAAAATGATTTGCATAAACATTAGTTAAAAAAGCTTTTTTGCGTGTTTCTGTATTTCAATATGAAAGACATGAAAACACTTAAGCCTTAATTAATTCTATCTAATAGTTCTAAGTAGTTTATACGAATACTTTTTATTCTATAGCATTGATACAACAATATTTTCGCACTCACTTGTGCCACCCGTGGCGATAATGGTTGCGGGTGAGAAAACGACAGGATACCTGCAGGAGAATGTGGCGAAAGCCTCGCAGCGGCAGACACTTGTTGACCACTATTAAAGTTGTTATTCACAATATGGCTGTAACAAAAAATTAGGTTGTAAAATCTTTATGTAGATAAACAAATCTAAGATATTTAACATAACAAGATATTTACTGCTGTGGTATCGTCGATGGATGAGAATATGAGTGAGCGAGTCGGTGACCAGAAGCCATTTGGACGGATCCCCCATAGCCTGGAGAGACTTGTGAATCTGGGACACTCGATCGCTGAATAAAAGAAAAACATTGAAAACATATATTTTCGAATTATTTTGTATATAAAATGAAGCAATCAACGTTTTTATTAAAAATTTATTAAAAATACAATCTATCAAAAATTGCAAATAACTATATTTTGCATTCAGCGATTTGATTACACAATCTTAAATTAAGATTAATATTTAACTAGAAAAAGAATAAAAAGTTTTATTTCTAATTTTTCTTCTGTTTTTTTATTTTCTATATTTTTATAATACACTACATACCTGTAATGACACATTCGGTGGCGCAACAGTATTGTTTAAAAGGTTGTCGATGTTATGAATGCCACTACTAATTTGGTCTGTCGCAGTGGCATTCGAAGGGATAAGCAGCTGCTGTTGTTGCTGCTGCTGCAATAATCGTTGCTTCTGCTGCTGTTGCTGTTGTTGTTGTTGTTGTTGTTGCATAAGTTTAGAACGTTGTTGTTGCAACTGTAACTGTGTAAATTGACCGGTTTGCCTAACACCTTGTTGGGTATTGAACCTCATTCTAGGCTGTTGGTATATAGGAGGTGGCTGGTAACTGTGAGTAGTTGTCACAAGTGTGGTTCCCAACTATAACAAAATTTAACAAGATAATTTTGCTATGGCAACATAATAAAAAGTAATAAACAATTTTTTTTAAAATGTAGATGAAATTAATCTAAAATAATTTAATCAAAGAAAAAAATTTACCGCAGTAGAATAAGCTGGAGGCGTGACAGGCATAGTTATGGTGGAAGACGTCGAATTCACGGCTTTTTCGCACAACATCAACGACTTTTGTATAAGACTAATTGCCATCGTCTCGTTTTGTGGCGCTTCCATAGCATCTAGAAGATTAGCTATGAAAGATAAATCTGTTGAAGGAGAATTAATAAAATAATAATAATTACTTTCGCTGTCACACGTACTCGCCTGCAATATTGCTCCCCGGAGAAAATTGATTGTTGCTAAAACAGTCACACAGAGTTACTCGAATTCATCGTTATTTCAACAAATCGCGTTTAAGCCAAAGCGAATCATGTAGCTGCATCAAGTTTATATTTTAATAAAAAATGTCAAAAAGTAAACAAATTAAAATTTTTTTATTTAATATGCAGTGCGACAGCGAAAGTCTAGAAACATATATTTACAATCAATATTATATAATTATATAATTACACAATTTTAGATTCAGATAAATGATTCGTTGGAACTTTACGTATCGTATATTAAATTAAAATATAATATTATGTATAAAGAAATGTGGTAAAAATGTATACTAAAATTGTAACACATAATACAATAATATAATTGTAATACATCATGTCTGTAAATTTGAAAAATTATTGTTTAACATTCCATTAATTACCTGTGATAGCTTCATCTGGAACAAACTCAATAACTTGATCCAAAATTTCCGAGAGATCCGGATCGGATGACTGATTGACACAACTCGTTGGATCGTTACTAGTCTGACAATATTCTCCGCTGCCCGCAAACTCGGACTCGATTGATCCCATATGGGGCCTTTGTTGCTGCAAAAAAATATAGGTTTAAAAATGTTATCTAAAACATTTAATTAGGATATTACAGAAATTTAACTTTTTTTAATTAATTTTTTACGCGCTAAAGATGTACATATATGCC